TCGGCTAACTTCTTCCTATTGTTGCTGTCCTCATGGATACCCAATTTCATGTTCTTGCCGAACTGCTCATAGAACTTCTTGAAGTTTTCTGGATCTTCATTCAACTCTTCTATCAGCTCCATACACTTCTTCACTAGATTCTTGCGGATCACCTTCAAGATTTTGTTCTGCTGCAGCATCTCTCGGCTAATGTTCAGCGGAAGATCCTCCGAATCAACAACACCTCGGATGAAGTTCAGATACTCGGGTATCAGATCTTCACAGTTGTCCATGATAAACACACGGCGCACATACAGCTTAATGTTGTTGCGCTTCTTTCGGTTCTCAAAAAGGTCGAAAGGAGCACGCTTCGGTATGAAGAGCAGGGCACGGAACTCCAACTGACCCTCAACAGCGAAGTGCTTCACGGCCAGATGGTCTTCCCAGTCATTGCTCAGCTGCTTGTAGAATTCACCATACTCCTCATGCGTTATGTCATCGGGATTCCTCGTCCACAGCGGCTTCGTCTTATTCAACTCCTCCTCGTCCATATACTTCTCCTTTACCTGCTTCTTCTTCTTTTTCTTGTCCTTCGACTCCTTGTCTTCACTCTCCTCTTCTTCGTCATCAATATCTTCTACCTTCGGCTTCTCCTCTTCATCCTCAGCCTTCTCACCCTCCTCCTTCTTCTCTTCCTCCACCATCTCCTCGTCATCGGACACATCCTTCGTCCGTTCCTTCTCCAATATCAACTTGATGGGATAGCCAATGAACTGGGAGTGCTTTGTGATGACTTCACGGATCCTCTTGTCCTCCAGGTACTCCATCTGATCCTCCTTGATATGCAGAATAATCTTCGTACCCCGGCCAATCGGATCTTCGTCCATCTGGCGAATCGTGAAGGAACCACCGGCAGACGACTCCCACAGGTACTGCGCATCATCATTGTGCTTCGAAATAACCTGCACATGGTCAGCTACCAAGTAGGCAGAGTAGAAGCCCACACCGAACTGGCCAATCATAGAAATATCAGCTCCCGCGGAAAGAGCCTCAACGAAAGCCTTTGTGCCAGATCGAGCAATCGTACCCAGATTGTTAATAAGGTCGGACTTCGTCATTCCAATACCGCTATCGATGATCGTTAGGGTCTTGTCATTCTTGTTGGGGATGACCTTGATGCACAAGTCCTTGTTCGTATCCAACACCTCGGGATTAGTGAGACTCTCGTAGCGAATCTTGTCGAGGGCATCAGAACAGTTGGAAATCAGTTCTCTCAGGAAGATCTCCTTGTTGGAATAGAAGGTATTGATGATCAAGCTCATAAGCTGAGCGATCTCAGCCTGGAAGGCGAAAGTTTCGGCATCCTCGGACATGGTGATGCTGCTGGGAGGGTTGTAAAAGTGAGGGGCTCAGGCTTCTTCCATGCTTAAACAGCAAATTTGGAACATTCCAGATCGTAATTACTCACCTAAACCAATCAAACCTTCGTATTTGCCTTGTGGTCTTTCTAGAATATTCTCCTTGCTTGTGATTGGTCTCAGCGCCAGACAGCGAGGTCAGCGTGGCTGTCGTTTAGGCTGTTTTAGGTCGGCTAGTCACACCGGCGTTTGGATTGGCTGATGCACTGTCCTGTCTGGGGCTGCCTATTGGCCATAAGCGTTGTCAGCCCACTAAACGGCCCCAGAGACCTTTAAGCCACGCTGAAATGTCATGGCTTGACATGGCCACATACGCTTTCACCTTTATCAATACGTTTTTACAAGACAAACATAAGCAGCATAAACTCCCGGTGGCCTAAAGTACTGTGTTTTAGCTTGTCTAGTGAATAAGAGCGTTTGTACCAGTAACTTCAACTCCAGAGAACAGATTGGTTTAGTTGTCTGACCTATTGGCAATCCACGAGATTCGTGTAAAGGCGACTCGCTGTTGATTCTCTGGGACTGACGTTCCCACTCAACTCAAAATGCCGTCAGTATTGCTGTAATTCTACGCTGTTCCCCTACGCCTTGATAGTTAATAGCTTACAGTTCGTCCCAAACGCGATTGGATTGTTTTCACCCTAACGAGAGACGAACAGATGGGTCGCACTGGAATGTCGATTTTAGATTAGAACTGGTCCACATAACAGTGAAACGATTTTTTTAAATAGAAGCAAAGAGGCGAGTTGCAGGACGTAGACGCAAAGGCAGAGACAAAATCATCAGATCAAGAAACATATTTGCTTTATCTCCTCTTGTTCTGGCTATATTTTCTCCTCTTTCGGGAGAAACAAGTCCCCCAGGTGTTCCTCCATTAATTGGCTATGCGAATGCGTGGTTATAATTAAATAAATACATAAATTCTATATTTTAGGCGATCAGAAGGCCCTTTAATAATACACTTATTAC